CTCTCTCTCTCTCTCTCTCTCTCTCTCCTCTCTCACTCTCTCTTTAAAAAAAATTAGTAGCAATTCATTAATAAGTTAATGCTCATATTTGTTAAAGTATGAAATATATACTTTAAAAGCTATGGCTATAACAAGTAAAAAATCCAGCCTAAATTCCTCTTAAGATTGGGAGCCATCTCATCACACAGGCATGAAAATTACTGTGATTTTTAAACTTGCTTGAAATGCCTGCCAGTGCCTTGAATTCACCCATGTCTGGTTTTCCCTGATGAGATAACCACTCTCCCTGAAACTTTAGTGATGACTCATAAATTCTGGCTTTCCCTGACCAAATGACAACCCTCTCTGAAACCTTAGTGGTGCCTCATAAATTCTGATGTTGTGATCTAAACTTACTCCCTAAGTGATGAACAATTTTAAACCATTAACCTTGTACCTGCCTTTGTATTATGCTTGTCAAAATCAGGGTTGTTTTACCTGATAACAACCCTCCCTGAAACTTTAGTGATGACTCATAAAGGGCTCTCTGGTCTCAGATTCAATATACATGATCTGAAGCCCCTTCCAATGAAGAGCATTTTGTGGGAACTGTGCAATCCTATGTGTCATCAGGGAGGAGGAGGGTAGGATTTCACTGTTATTTCTTATCTCCTAAGTCTTCCATTTTTGCCATTTGGCTGGCTTTCCCTGACTAATAACAACCCTCTGTGAAACCTTAGTGGTGTCTCATAAATTTTGATGTTGTGATCTAAATTTAATCCCTAAGTGCTGAGCCATTTAGACCATTAACTTACTACCTGCCTTTGTATAATGTTTGTCAAAATCCTGTAATCCATTTAAGTTCTCAAGACACCCCCCTTTTGCAATTTTATGTGCTATAAAACTGCAGTCTGAAAGAGCTGGATTGCTGTCTTCTATTCCCATGGGTTTAAGGAGAGACTGTTATCCTCAAATTTGGGACCCCCAAAAGACCAGCAGAGACCAAGATTGATGTAAGCAGCAAAGATGCATTTATTGTGAGCTAGCTCGGTCCTCCACACCCACATCAACTGGTGACGCTGAGAGGCCCTGAGCACAGGGTTTGCAGTAGTTTTATACACTCTCTGGGGAAGCCAGCTACCCCACATACATCGTAGCATATCTTAGCAAATCATTACACACCGCGGGAAAAATCATAAAATGAGTCTAAAACATGATTAGCACATTCACTGGCAGGAACAAGTTGGGTAAGGGTGATTGGTTAGTACAAGAGGGAGAGTCATTTGAACTGATTATTTAGGCCATGAGGGATGTACCTGCTGAACTATGTGGTCTTCTAACATGTTTTCAACCACCTTAAACTACTGGGAGGGTCATCTGGCATCCCAGGTATTTTCCCTGTCTAATGCTGATTGGTGGTTGCTAGGGGGTTGCTATGGGTCCCCACCTAGCCTGACTGAGTCAGGGAAACCTGCCTCAGCAGATCTCTCCTGTTATTTGTAGATAAACAACTCAGCAGGGTGGGTATATGCCTAGGAGTGCTCTGTGGGTCTTTCCAAGGACAAGGGTCATGCCCCCTTCCTTGGACAGGCTTTGCTCTGAGATAGAGGCTGGTTTCTCACCTTGTATCTTATGTTTTTTATGTATTTTTTAGCTGTAGCTGGAAACAATACTTTTATTTCACTTATGTATTTTTATGTGGTGCTGAGGATCGAACCCATAGTCTTGCACATGTGAGGTGAGTGCTCTACCCCTGAGCCAAAACCCCAGCATCTTATGTGTTGTTTTTATTGGGCATTTTTACTTTAGGAGGTTTCTTTCCAGTTCAAAGTTCAATCTGTTACCTAAAAAGAACAGAGCAGAATAGAATAGACAATATGATGTGCATTCCATGTATGTATTATATGTCAAAATGCATTCTACTGATATGTATGACTAAAAAAAAATGATAGTGATTGTCATTATTTTATATTAATTCCTGAATAATATACAAGCATATATAATCCATAAACTGAAATAACTTTATATGAAAGTTTAAATTAAAATGATCTGTTGGTTGAGCTAGGATCTCACTTCTGGGGAAAAAAAAAAACAACTTGCCTTTAAATAACAGCAGCCTGAGGTTCTGGGATATATTTCCCAGATTAAAACAACCTGAGATTCTAACCCTTATTCATACCTAGATTGGATAATATTCCCTGTCACTCAAAAAAATGGTCACTGGTCTCAGATTCAATGTGCATGATCTGAAGCCCCTTCCAATCAAGAACATTTTGTGGGAACTGTCCAATCCTGTGTTATCAGGGAGGAAGAGTGGGCTTTCACTGTTACTTCTTATCTCCTAAATCCTTTTTTTTTTTTTTTTTTTTTTTGCCATTTGGCTGGACTTTAATCTCATACTTTAGAGTCACAGGTTGCTCTACTGTGCAGAAACTGAGGATTCCAAGCAGGCCCAACTCTGGAGAACCAGGAAATGGTGAGTGTGCATTGGCTTACTGAGGGAGGCTGGGGGAGAAAGACTATTTATTGGAACCACAAGACTGTAGTGAAAACAGGAGCTAGCAGATTGGGACTCTGGGCAGTCTCTGCAGTCTTAAGTCCTCCACTGGGCCACTATGTTCACAGTCCTACTGGCCAAGCAGGTGGTGAACATGTCAGTGGAAGAGACTCTTTGTTGCTTTCCTTATGCTTAAAGGGCATCCTCAGTGTCTGCCTAAAATACTATGTGGCTGCTGTGTCCCTGCAGCCCAGTGTCTTACCAGATGCTAGAGATTGACAGATGGAATAATGATCAAAATCAAATCTACACAGGCCATTTTCTTGAAGAAAAGGAGCTGTTGTTTTGGGGCACCTAATTTCCTCTTGAGCCAGCTAATTTTTATTTTGACTTTCTTTTATTTTTACTTATTATTATTATTATTTAGGTAGTTAGTGTCATTAGGTAAATCAGGTCTAATATTTAGTAAAATCAAGAATGAACATTATATTGAGAATGAAGTCCAGGAAAATGGGAATTGAAAATGTCCCCAAGGCCCAGAGCCCATCCCAAGGAAATGTTAATGAAGCAGCTCCCAGCAAATAGGGAGATACTAATCCAAAAGCCTTCCTGCCCAGATTACTGCTTCAGCCTACCTGTCCCCCAGCCTTTGGGCCTTCCTGCCTACATTCCATCACTGCAAGATAAGGTGTCTTGTAAAGGAAATTGGGGTGTAATCCTACATGATGAAGATTAGAGCCTGCATTTTATTCTATTAGATGCAGAGTCTCTGGTTTAAGTCCTAGGTTCTTGATACCCTTTGAGTTGAGTTTTGTGCATGGTGAGAGATAGGGTTTGTTGAAGAGGCTATATTTTCTCCAGTGCATGTTTTTGGCACCTTTGTCTAATATATGATAATTGTAATTTTGTGGGTTAGTCTCTGTGTCCTCTATTCTGTACAATTTGTCAATTTGTTTTGTTGCCAATGCCATGCTGTTTTTGTTACCATTGCTCTGTAGTATAGTTTAAGGTATAGTGATGGTATAGTGATGCCACCTGCTTCACTCTTCCTGCTAAGGGTTGCTTTAGCTATTCATGGTCTCTTATTTTTCCAGATAAATTTCATGGTTGCTTTTCTATTTATATGGGGAATGCCATTGGGATTTTGATCAGAATTGCAGTGAATCTGTATAGTGCTTTTAATAGCATGGTTTTGATAATATTCTGCCTATTCATGAGCAAGGTAGATCTTTCCATCTTCTAAGGTCTTTTCTGATTTTTTTCTTTAGGGTTCTGTAGTTTTTCTTGTATAGATCTTTCACCTCTTTCATTAAGTTGATTCCCAAGTATCTTATTTTTTTGAAGTTATTGTAAATGGAGTAGTTTTCTTCACCACCATATGTACCCTATCTTTTGTGTGTAAATTTTTAAGCTTTGTACTTTTTATATATTTCACTATTATTTATTAATAACTTATATTCAGCATTTAATGTGTCAAAATATGTTGTTATGTTTTATGAGTAAAGGGACAAAATAGCATTTTATTATCACACTGTTTTCCCAATATTCTAGCATCTTTCTTTGGAATGAATGCCATTTTTCCTCTTTTCTGCACTGTAATCTTTATTATGTATCACTGCCTAAATAACGAGGCTTATTAAGAGTTTTGTTTTTGTTGTTGTTTTCTGTAGTTCCACCATTTATTTTATTATGAGGTTTACCCTGATTGATTTAACTTCATAGCATCAATCATGTGGCATCATGATATTTTCATCAGCAGTAGACTTTATGTACAACAGTGGATATAGCAAATATCTTAGCCATGAACTAGTCTATACCATCTAGAGATTCTTGTCATTATACTCAGAGAAATGAAAAATTGCAGAATATTTTTAGGATAAAATTTCCATCAGAGTGTATTTCCATCAAGTGAGAAATCATTATATATGCATATATTTGAATTATATACTATATAATTGAAATGATTATTATTTGTTGAATTTACAAATTTGCTAGTGCTTTTTTAATTGTATCTGCTTTTTTTTTTTAATTTGTACTGTAAATTGAACCCAAGGGTGCTTAACCATGAAGCCACATCCTCAGTCCTTTTTATATTTTATTTTATCAGTCTTGCTGAGTTGCTAAGTGCCTCACTAAGTTGCTCAATACAATATATATAAGACAATATTATATATAATATTGTCTTCGAATTTATGATCCTTTTTCCTCATCCTCCTCAGTCACTGGAACTACAGTTGTCCATCACTAAACCTTGCTCATTTGCTTTTTAAAAGCACCAACATTGATATTGGCAACTCTCTCTGTGTTATGTTCATCTTTAATAGCTTCTAATTTTGCTCTTTTGCTTAAGATTTTCTTTACTTTTAGTTTATAAAATTTACTTTTCATTGGGATGGAGGATTTGATAATAAATTCTTAGTCATTTTATGGCTTACTAATTATTTTCTGTATGTTTTATTTTCAACCTCAGGTTTAGTTGAATTTTAATTTTTGCAGCTGTGTAAAGGTCTAACTGAAACATAATAACCTGTATGGATATTGTTAAAATAAATGGAAAGATAATTTAACCCAGGTTTTTTTACTGTACTGTATATATGTGAAGGACATAAAATCAGAATCCTACATTGACTCAGCCACATTAATGTTTATAGCAACACAATTCACAATAGCTAAGCTACAAAACCAAACATTCAATGAGGAATGGGTCCATTCAATGATGACAAGATAAAAAATTGTTGTTTATGTACACAATAAACAATTAATCAGCCATAAAGAAGAATAACTTTATGACATTTGCCAGTAAGTGGATGGATCTGGAGATGTTATGCTAAGTAAAACAAACCATTTCTTTAAAACTAAATGTTGAAATTTTTTGCTGATATGTGAAATCTAAAGTTCATAAAGTGGGGAAGGGTAAGAAAACAAGAACAGTAGATTGCACAGTGGTAATAAATAAATAAATAAATAAAAGGGAAGGAAATAGGAATATTAAAGATATATATATATATATCCTATCATCATAGTCACCAACAAGAACAGGATTCTAATTAGGATAAGATATATCCCATGCTTGCATAATAACATAAAAATTGATTTTAATATCAGGTAGAACTAGAAAGAACCAATAAAATAAAAAAAAACAAATTATATTTTTTAAAAAGCTATATGTATATTCTATTATAAATATCATACAATATTTGCATCTATCAAATTAATATATATATATGCATGTATTATTTTGTATGTTAAAAATTGTTAAAACTATAAAACGGAAAATGCAAACAGGATTGTTTTTGTTATTTTTTATATTAATAACATACATAAATACCATAAAATGTTTGAACTTAAATTCACTATTCAATATTTCCATTAAGTGGTCTTTCTACCCTGTTACATTTCAAAATTTCTCTTATACCATTGGTATTGGGATTACTAGAGATCTCACTACATATTCAGAAAAGCCAGCTCTATCAGAGAAATAGCAAATAAGATTCTACACTTATCTTTGATTAGTGGTTGTACAATTAAAATATGAGCATTCCCTTTTTTAATCACAATAATTTTCTCATCTGAACAATATACATTATTTATATCATGATATAAAAAAATTACAAAATATATATTTTTGTGGTAATGCCTGAGTTTTACATTGTGTTTCACAAATGTGGAATATATAAACTGTTTTGAACTTAAATCACTTTTTCTGCAGAAGTAGATAATAGTATCATTGTGTTCCAAAACACTACCTACATGATAGTCTACTAACTCTCATTTTAACTTCAGTTACCTTACAGACTGTGCAAATGTTCATGTAGTCAATGTGTTATTTATTTATCCATTCTTTTTACAGTTACTGTTATCATTCAAGGATATAGCCATTGATTTTACTGAAGAGGAGTGGGAATGCCTTCAGCCTGCTCAGAAAAACTTATATAAAGATGTGATGTTAGAGAACTATAGAAACTTTGCCTTCCTGGGTAAGTTTAATTTCCCTTTAAAATTTTTAATTAATAGTTATTATGTAATTTACTTCTGTTGTATCTTCTGGGAACTTCTCTGTAAGAACGAGTTTTAGATTTGTGTTTCAAAGAAAAAGGGCATTTTTAGTACAGATAATTTACTCTTTAATATATATTATTTTACTCTTTAATCTCTCCCTTTCTTGGTATGTTATACATTCTCCACTTTAGATAAGTAGTTCCTAGCATACTTTAGTGATGTAAACTCTTGTAGCCTACACAGAGCAGGGGACGCAGCGAGAAGTTCAAATGGAGAAAACCAAACAAAAATGTTGGTAGAGTAGTTATTTAGCAGAAAAAAAAAAAAAACATTTCAGAAGCTTAGGTTTATTTCTTTTGATTTTAATCATTGAACACATAACTGCCCTACATTTATCACATTTTCAAATTTTTTGTGATCCTCCATTTTCTTCTTTAGTGATGTCCCAGTTTATTCAGATTAACTACTAAAACTTATGTTTTATTGTGAGAGCCAGCATAATGTGTTATAAATCTTCCTGTGAGGAAACCTATAAAGAAGCTAACAGAAGACAGAGACTCAATCTCAATGAAAAGGAAAAAAAACAAAAAACAAAAAAAACTGGCCAGTCCTCTTCATGGCTGTACATAGTTTACCCCAAAATTACATAGTTTCTGTTGCAATGACTACATTCTAACCTAGTATTATTTTAACCCCAAGTGCTAGCTAACCAAGATAAGGTATAGTTAATAAAAAACATAGAGTCTCTTCTCCCAAAAGGACATTACCACAGAAACTAGATAGTGCACCTGTAGAGTTGTCTTAATCGCTTCAGGGAGAAACTGCTGGGAATTACAATTGTGGGACTCAGGATGCCAGTTTCCATCACCCCCACACTTTCTATTCCCAATGTCAGAAAACCTGAAGCCCCTCGCTTTTTTTAAGGCCTTTTGAATAAATAATATTACTTATCTCCTTAATGCTGGTGGGGGCAAAAAATAGGGCAGCCATAGACAACAGCAAGTGCCAACATCAGTAAACATCCACCTGTGTATATTTTTTGACGCAGATGAAATTGAGTAAACATGAAGTTAGCCAATCCAACAAGTCAATCATCAATCATCTTGTTGTACCTTATTAATGATATCTTTAAGGTAATCTAACTCTTTTGAAATAAAATTACTATTATCACATAAATTGAAGGAACACGTGCTATTAAACTTCTGATATCTATTATGATATAACAATACCAGACAATCAATTGCAATCATGAATTTTAAGTATGGCTTGACAATGTTGTTTTTGTTCTTCATTAAGCATATTAACAGCCATGGAGGCTTGACTAATACTTTTTATGATAGCATAGGTGAGTTTCATAGTAGTTTTGTAAGCCCATAAATCTAGTCCAGGGAAACCCTTTAAGGAGAATGTCAAAGCATCAAATTCTGCCTTAGAGAGAAGGTTCACTGAATTATCACAGTTTTTATCAAGAGGAATAGACCTTTTATGAATAAATTGTGCAGGATTGTGACCTATTAAATATAATGTGGATGGTAAGGACACAGTTATTCTGCTAATCCAACAGTGAATATCATGAGACATTTTTTCAGGTAAATAACAATTTCATCCAAATGAGTCAAGATATTGTAATGGGTTGTAGAATTCCAGGATCTGAGAGTACTGAATTTCCCACAAGTGGTGTACAAAAACAGAGCAACATTGTTATTAAGACCAAAGCATTAACAGAGTTTTGTGGGAGTGTAGCAACCTAACTTATCCGTAGTACATTCTAACTTATTTGAGCCAACACCTTTTGAGCTGAGGTTAATAATGGTTTTATATACCCCAAGTATCTGGAATTATAGTATCTTGGGATCCTCTTTTAATGTTTCTCCGCTTTTGAGGAGAATGATTATTCTCTTGTTTGGAGGGACTCTTCTCTTCCAGGGTTAAATGAATCTTATGAATCAACTTGTCAAGTCCCTGATGTACATTTATAATTGCTATATTTCATGCATTAAGGTAGAGTCAAAAAGAACATGTTGGCATAAGTTTAACAGTCTATGCTTTTCCCCATGTGATCAAAGGCATAGTATCTTGCCATGTTTGTAAGGTGAAATCTTATATATATATATATATATATATATTTTGATAATGGCTGTTTTAGAATAAAATGTCTATTCAATGCAGATGACCAATTTTGAGTATTAATTTTATGTTGTATATTGAGGGCATTAAGTGTAAATAAAACATTATTTAATGTATATTAATATGAGAGAGGCTAGATCTTTGTTTTCATTTAAAAAGGTAAGGATCAGGATATAATTTACTCACTCAACAAAAGCTTGTCCAAAATGATTATGAGAAATTTCATAATTTAAAAGTATATCTCATTGATTAAAAATTGTGCAAAAGGATGAGATGTGAAGGCAGAGGCATCATCCATCTTTAAATAAATAGGCCCTCTAGGAGCAGATCATGCTTAGTTTCTTTTCATGCTCTCTACTGGTACTGACTTGGAAGTTTCTTTTTTTAGATTCAATTCAGTTAGTAATTTTTTTCTTTTTTATTGTGTTTTGCAATAATGCATTAATAATCATAAATATTTTGAAGTGAATAACTCATTATACTTCTTCTTTGTAAGCTATTTTCTACATTTCTTATTTTTTGTATTTTGATTAATGATATAATTTCTAGATCATTGATCTTATTGTGGCATGCTTGGAACTTTTACAAATATATACATATTTGTAATTATATATATATATATATATAATCTCCCACTTATCTTTATATATCCTATAGGTTTTTAATTTTTACAGTATTTCACAAGTTGCTTAGACTTGTCTTAAACTTGGTCCTGTTTGATAAGCCTCTCTCATATTGGTAGAATTTCAGCTTTGCACACTAGGAATGCCCCTGTTATTTTTTTCTTAAGGAATTATTCACATACACAATTTGTGCTTATTTATATTTATATTTTTTGTCTCAATTTTACTCTTTAAACATTCTTTAAATAGTTATTTAGTGTTCTTTGAGTAATTCATAACGGTTAGTATCCTGATGTTCAATTCTTAATGTTTTTGTATTTTTTTTTTGTCACTTGGATTAAGCCATGTTTCTCTTTGTTTATGTTTGTTGTACTATTTTTTATTTCTTCATTAAAGGAGGCAACAGTAGATTATGTAGTCCATTTTGTGAAAAAAGTATAAAATCTTTTAAATAAATAAAAATAGGCAAGAACAGTGCTGCATCCTTGTAATATTTGCTAGTTGGGAAGCCATGCAAAAGTACTTCATTTTTAGGGAAGTGACAGATATTTAGAAACAGCATGACTCGAACAATTCTAAAAAGACTTGTGTTGTTATTCATTGATGTAGAATTTTTAGGGCTAATTTCAAGCACCACAGATGAAAAATTAAAAGTTGGATGACCTAAAGACTCAGAAATGCCAGTACTAAATATGATTCCATGAACAATTAAATCAGAAAATTGAAGAGATACCTCTGGTTTTGTTTTTAGCGCAACATAGTTCTCAGTTTTAAAGCTAGAGTCTCAATGTATGTGCCTATCAATGATCAAATGTGTAGTAATATTGTACTTATATACTATTATTATTTAGTTATAAAATATTTTGTCTCTTAAAGTGTTATAAAAAATATATGCAAGACTTTGCATTAAGTCAAATGTGGCAGGCAGAGATTAAGTTGTAGGAGCATTGGATTCACATGTGACAGTCAGATATTTAGTGAGTAAAATTCTGCTCAGCAGGTACTGTGTTTTGTGTAGGGTTTATATTATAGTCAAAGTCCATGTTTTTATTTTATTGAGCATAAGAGGGTCAAGATTTTTGTTTTACCACATGGTGAGTGTATTATATTCTTCATAAATACTAGTAGAAGGAATACAATACTTGTTAGAGAAAACTGACAATTATATAAAATAATGATTGTGTTAATTCCTTCTATTTACTCATTGTACCTTGTATATACAGTATAAAATACCATAATATATTTAGTAAATAATGTTGTATTTGTCAATGAAAGAAATCATCATATCACACCAATTTAAAAATATAAAAATCAATTTATTACACTTGATTGTCATGTGTTGACTTCACCCAAGTATAAGGGCCATAGGCTATGAAAGGTTTTTATAGTTTTTTAAAATGTTTTTATGGAAAATTTTATAGACATATATGTGTATATTTCTTAGTAAATTTTTTGTTCATATTTCCATTTAAGAGTCCATAGCCTCTTTACCCTTGTTGAATATTTGTGGTATTATCGCTCAAAATATCCTAGATATTTTCATCTCTCTTTGTCATGGTAGATAAAAACTAGTTTTTGGATGCCCTTTGAAAAAGCCACAAATGTTTGTAGGTGTTTTACATTTCTTTTATTTTAATGAGAGTGAAGGTAGCTGATAGATATTTCCTAAATACACAATGATATCTTATGGAGGACAAAAGGCTGTGGATGATAAAAGTGTCACACTTTTCTTCTGTTTATTATATTACTCTTCTTAATGATCTTTGGTCCCTACAAGAATTTGAGTAATATTCTCAAGATAATTTTGTCTATATATTTTTATTCACCTGATATATTTTTGGAATTATGATGACTTTGGATTTACTAATCTGCTACACTCCTAATGTACTTATTTTACCTTAATTTCATGTTATGTATGCAAAATATATTTATCCCAGTCTAGAAGGAATTTTTTTTAAAAATTTTTGTTTATTTCAGCCATGACTCCATATGATACCCAAGAATATTCACCAGAAAAGGGCATAAAACATATATTTCCCAAAGTGATAAATGGGAAATATAGAAGTTGTGGTTTTGACTATTTACAACAAAAGAAAATATGGAAAACCACAAGTGAGAGTGAACACCAGGAATCATATAAAAAATATGGAGATAATCCCTACAAATATAAACAATGTGGCAAAGCTTTTAGTAAAATAAATGGTCTTATTAACCACAGAGTAACCCACACTGGACAGATGCCCTACCAATGGGCAGAATGTGATAAAGTTTTTAAAGAAAAATTAAACTTTATTAAGCAAAGCAGAATTCACATTGAAGAGAAGCCCTACAAATGTGAAGAATATGATAAAGCTTTTAGTAAAAACTTAAACCTTATTTACCAAAGAAGAATTGACACTGAAGAAAAGCCCTACAAATGTAAAGAATGTGGTAAAGCTTTCAGTCAAAAGTCCCAACTTATTTGCCACAGCAAAACTCATACTGGAGAGAAGCCTCACAAATGCATAGTATGTGACAAAGTTTTTACTCAAATATCAACCCTTATTTGTCACAAAAGAATTCACACTGGAGAGAAGCCCTACAAATGTAAAGAATGTGGCAAAGCCTTTAGTCGAAAAGTTGGTCTTATTTGCCACAGGAGAAGTCACACTGGAGAGAAGCCCTACAAATGTAAAGAATGTGGCAAAGCCTTCAGTCAAAAAGTTGGCCTTATTTGCCACAGCAGAAGTCATACTGGAGAGAAGCCGTACAAATGTAAAGAATGTGGCAAAGCCTTTAGTCGAAAAGTTGGTCTTATTTGCCACAGGAGAACTCACACTGGAGAGAAGCCCTACAAATGTAAGGAATGTGGCAAAGCCTTCAGTCAAAAAGTTGACCTTATTTGCCACAGCAGAACGCACACTGGAGAGAAGCCCTACAAATGTAAAAATTGTAGCAAAACTTTCAGTCGAAAATCACACCTTAGTTGCCACAGGAGAACTCACACTGGAGAGAAGCCCTACAAATGTAAAGAATGTGGCAAAGCTTTCAATCAAAAAACATGCCTTATTCGCCACACCAGATCTCACACTGGAGAGAAGCCCTACAAATGTAAAGAATGTGGAAAAGCTTTCATTCAAAAATCAGACCTTATTTGCCACAGGAGAACTCACACTGGAGACAAGCCCTACAAATGCAAAAATTGTAGTAAAGCTTTCAGTCGAAAATCACATCTTAGTTGCCACAGCAGAACTCACACTGGAGAGAAGCCCTACAAATGTAAAGAATGTGGCAAAGCTTTCAGTCAAAAAGCAGACCTTATTTGTCACAGCAGAACTCACACTGGAGAGAAGCCCTACAAATGTAAAAATTGTAGCAAAGCTTTCAGTCAAAAATCACACCTTATTTGCCACAGCAGAACGCACACTGGAGAGAAGCCCTACAAATGTAAAGAATGTGGCAAAGCTTTCAGTCAAAAAGTAGGACTTATTTACCACATCAGATCTCACACTGGAGAGAAGCCCTACAAGTGTAAAGAATGTGGCAAAGCTTTCATTCAAAATTCAGACCTTGTTTGTCACAGGAGAACTCACACTGGAGACAAGCCCTACAAATGCAAAAATTGTAGTAAAGCTTTCTTTCGAAAATCACACCTTGTTTGCCACAGCAAAACTCACACTGGAATGAAGCCCTACAAATGTAAAGAATGTGGCAAAGCTTTTACTCGAAAATCACACCTTATTTGTCACAGTAGAACGCACACTGGAGAGAAGCCCTATAAATGTAAAGAATGTGGCAAAGCTTTCAGTCAAAAATCACACCTTATTTGCCACAGTAGAACTCACACTGGAGAGAAGCCCTACAAATGTAAAGAATGTGGCAAAGCTTTCAGTCAAATATCAAACCTTATCTGCCACAGAAAAACTCACACTGGAGAGAAGCCCTATAAATGTAAAGAAAGTGGCTAAGCTTTCTGTCAAAAATCGCACCTTATTTGCCACAGGAGAAATCACAGTGGAGAGAAGCCTCACAAATGCAAAGTATGTGACAGTGCTTTACTCAAATATCAACTGTTATTTTCCACAGGAGAATTCACACTCAAGTAAAGCCCTACAAATGTGAGGAAAGTGACAAAGCTTTTAGCAATAAAATAAGCCTTATCCACCAGAGAAGAACTTACACTGGAGAATAGTCCTACAAATGTGAATAATGTGGCAAAACTTTTAATAAAAAATTAAATAAAATACACCCTGATGAATGTGAAATGTGAATAAAGTGATAATGCACATAAAGAGAAACTAAACCTTAAAAACAACAGAATTTATACAGAAAAGAACCCCTACAAATGGAAACAATGCAGCAAAGCTTTTAATAAAAAATCAATTATTTTTCACCACCATGCTATTTATTCTGGACAGAAGATACACAAGTGTAGAGAATGTAGAAACATTTTAAATTCTATATCATACATTACTAGACATCATAGAAAACACACTGGAGAGAAGCTTTATAAATGCCACCATTGAACAATTCCTCTAAGAAAGGGTCAAAATTTAATCCTCACCACAATAACCATAGCAAAGAGAAAGTTTTGAAATGTGAAAATTGACAATCTGACAATGCCTTCAAAATTTATTCACCAATACTCATCACCTGTGAATACATACTGGTTAGAGAGAATACAAATGGAAAAAAAAATTTCATAACCACATGTTTCTTAAACACTAGTGATTTTTGGAGAATACATTGTGCCCAGAAATCCTAAAAAGTTAAATAATATTTCAAAAAACGTATTCAAATTTTAAATTCATTGAACATCTGAAACATCATACCAGTAGTGAACATTGAACAGATTTTGTCCAAAATGTATGCCTTATATAACATTTATAATAAACACCTTGACAAACGTGAGAGTATAGTGAAGTCATTATCTATACATTACACCTTGATGTATATGAAGATAAGTAAAAGACACAACTCATTTAAATATAGAATATATAAGTACTTGTTTTTAACTTTTAATTAAATTTACTAAGCATTATCAAGTTATTTGGTAGAAATATCAGTCATAAATATCATACATGTATAGTGCAGAAACCTCATCTTTGAAAGCATATATATATATTTTCTAAATCAAGTATTACTATTTCCACTTTTGAATACCAGAGAAAACAATTATAAGAAATATATTTTTTGATGTGTAACACTGAATTGTTATATTTTAACCTTTTTTATATTTTTGTATTGCAGTTTAAATTTAGGGATTTTTAAACATTGTGCAACATTCCTATGTCCTTTCTCCAGTTTCTCAAATTTTGAGACTGCTCTTGCAGTGAAACCACACTAAGTTTCTGAGGCTGAATTTAAACTTCTGAAACTACTCAGCTTCCCAATTTGCTTGGATTACAAGCATGGACCATCATGCCAGGTTTACAGAGCATTTTTACATATTTATGTATGCAATATGTCTTTATAACTGAATATTTCTGTATATGTTAACACTCATGTATTGCATCATGTCATTAAATGACAGACATCACAGTATTCCACTTGTTTAAATGTTTTATGCAACAGTAAAACCTACTATTGAGTAGATAATACTCTAGCATCTCTTAATACTTTTACACATTTTAATCAAACTCAATGTGGAATATAATTTGCATTATCAGATCATTGTAAGTTATTTTCTGTTTATTTTCATGGTGAAATTACGAGTTATAGGAAAGACATATATATGAAAATAAGCTCTAAATTTTCACATCTTGTTTTACAAATTTTGACATTTTAACTTTTTAACATTTTACCATTTCATAATGATTTGAATAGACTGAATTTCCACATCCTTAAAGGTAGCTCTTCAGGAGAGAAGAGCTTTATCTTTCTTGTGTGTGCATAATGGCCTTCTAGACTCCAGCCTCATTGGAAACATTTCATTTTTATGTGAATGAGGTAAATGATAAGTGTTTTTATATATATTAGTTAATTCTGACATCACTGTTATTCTATAGGAAGTGTTATTTTAGGGCAGGAATCACAGAAATTCATCTGTTGTCAAGGTTGAGTGAGGCCTACTTATGACAAAATAATCAATGAGCTATGTTTCATAGTCTTATTTTCTGTAAACCAAGTGGTAAGAGGTAAACTGAGAAGATTGTATGTAAAGATTAAGTTTCTTATCATTAAATGTTGGCTTACGAGCTACAATAGGGCAAAGACTTCTTATGCATTGAGTCCATACAAAAATCATTGAATATCCTTCACAATATTATTAATATTACATATAAATCATGAAGAACCGAGTTTAAAACAATATATGGCTAAGAACAATGCCTTGGGACATTGTACACTCTCCAATACAGACATATTTATACCAATTTAATTATACATCAAATTACACTAAAGAAGAAAAAAAAAATCAATTTGATCAAAGCACAACAGTATACAAATAAACCTTGTAAAGGCTTAAGCGAGATACCCAATAGTTGATGAAGTGTGGCTTCTAAATGCTAGGGGGAAAATTCTCATAATCAGAGGTAATTGAAGGAAGAAAAATTACCCACTTTGAGCTAGAACAGCAAAGATTATTCACTTCCATTTGTATGCTTTGTAATATGTTCCAAAAGATTTCTGCATGTTTTATTTCAGTCAAATTGAGAAACAATCCAGAAATTTAAAAAAGCAAAGTATTGCTCCTCTGGTTTTAAAAGCAAGAAAAAAATAGAGATCTATTGAGCTAGAAAACTTACTAGTTAGAGGTAAAAAATAGAACTGAGATTTCCAGAATCTGTAGAATGTATTTCAGCCATCTCTGGACGCACAGGGCATTTTTGCATAACAAAGAATTTGTTCACTTATGTACAGCTTAAGAAACATTGCTGTTTTTAGTCAGTCTTTTTTATTAACAACAATGATGTACCTTTCAATAGTTTCCAGCCACAACAATACACAATTTCAGAAATCTTTTGGTTCATCCTCCATATATTCTGTGACAGTATTCACCAGGACAAGATAATATAAACCTTTTGGCAGCCCCGTCAAAGTATTCATTTCTATTAATTTTAAGGGCAAACATATACTGCAGAGAAAAGTATGATACATCGAACAACATAGTTTTACTTAGTAAAAATAATTTTTTGATGAAAAATATATCCCAACTGCTTTGTCTTGGGATTGCATTACAAAAATATAAGCTAATTATACTGTGTATTATGACCTCAGGCTCTGAGCCTTATAATGCAAAAGAATATTTTATGTTTATTTTTAAATATAGTTTTTATATTTCAAACATTCAAATCAAATTCCACAGCAATCAATTATAAAAAAAGAAAACACGAGAAAAACAACTGCAGTTTGGTGTCTTATCATGACCTTTCAATACCTGCTTTAGATTGCCTGTGGGTTCCACTTTTAATTTAAAAGATAATATTTTTTCCATACAATTTGGGTCAAGTGGAGGATAAAATCTCCTGCATTGTTTTCCTGGGCAAGCTGTCATACTTGAAACAACTGAATCCCCAGTCAAAATATCTTTACATTTTAATTATATCAGTTCTTAACTGATCTAGCATAAAACAAATACACTTTCTTCTTGTTGAATATCTTGAGCCCAAAGATAATGCAATCATTTAAGAGAAGTCACTAATATGAATTTATTGACCATTTTCTGCCCAGCACAGTCTTCCCAGAATTTGCATTATCTTGAAATACTGTGCTTTATAATTTTAGAAATCAACAAGATAAATCTAGGACATAGAATTTTAGCTTTTGACATAAATCCAACAAGTCTGGGCTGGGGATGTGGCTCAAGCGGTAGCGCGTTCACCTGGCATGCATCCGGCCCGGGTTTGATCCTCCGTACCACATACAAAAAAGATGTTATGTCTGCCGAGAACTATCATAAATATTAAAATTCTTTCTCTCTCAAAAAACCCCAAGAAAACAAAAACAGGTCTGACTGACTACATAAGGGCTGTTTGGAAATAAATGGAAAAAGTGCTGGTGTGCTGAGTAAATATCAAGATCCAAAATAAAATCCAGAGTTTATTTTCATTTTCTTTATTGTGTACATTTAAGGGGTGAAGTACAATGTTTTGCTATTCCTAATGCAGCGGTTACCATAGTCAGGCAGATGAACACACCCTCCTCTCACACAGCACCTTAAATCAGTTTTATGAGCATAAATTCCTGCTGTGGCACAATGAAAACCTGGATTCCCTCACTCAGGGCAGAGAAGTACTACTCAGGTGTGCAGACCACAGCTGGGATTCCCAGAAGAAAGCCTGGGAACAGAGTAGATGGGGAGACAGAGGAAAAGACGAAGGTTCAGGCATTTTTTGGAGAAGAAGTTGTGGATTCAATAAGAGTTTTGGAGAGAGCAGCTGAAACCCACTTGGGTCAAGAGAGTCCCTAAGACAAAGCAGTTGTGGAGATTCGGACGAGGCAACCGGACAAACAGAATTTGGTGGGAGTTTTTTGGATGATTAGTGTGATGGCAGCAGCTCTTTTGACTGGGGTGAGGCTGCTCCAGAGAGAGAGGACAGAGTTGTCAGAATCACTGAGTGACTGGTACCCTGTCCCACTGTACACATCACTCCCAGGAATACCTGGCCATGTGCAGGGTTCAGGCTGTGCACATAACCTCCTCAGTGGCTGGGGCAGGCTGGTGGTTTTTAGGCTGCACGTAGACATCTGGTTATGGCTCAACCAAAATGAGATTCACTACTTGCATTGGCTGGGTCTTGCCATCTGGAGACAGAGGTGGCATTGTGGACCATGGCACCATTCAGAGACTGGAGTGCATAGGTGGCACCAGGGAGAGGAGTCTGACATCCTGAGTCGGGCAGTGCATTCCCTGGTCTGTCCCAAGTTTTGGAAGCCATAAGACCCAAGAGACCCTGTGAGTGGCCTTTCTTTCTGTGCTCATTGGTGTTTTTGGAGAAGGTGTCCCTGGGCACAACTGCCATCAGCAGCCTGGCCTCACTTTTGCTAACTGGTCCGAGTTTGTGCCCAGTGCTTTCTATGCATTTCGGTTTTGGTCCAGGCGTGTTTCTCAAACTTGGTCATGTGACTTGAGGCACTATTAAAAATCATCAAGCCCAGGATTTGTCCCTACAGACTTGATTCTGCAATGAGTCCTAATGATCAGCTTTGTTGTCTCACTGCTGGTTGTTGCCGCGAGCAGTCAGGGTAGAGACCTCCTGGCTCAGTGCTGATGTCTTTGTGGGGAAGACTCATAGTATGGACAAGAAGATGTGACAGGTCATGGAGGTGCCTAACCACATGGACATGTGACAAGCATGAGGACTTGAGACACACTCCCAGGTGGCCATTTTCTCAGAGCATCTGCATGAGCATGTCGCCATGTGTGACTGGTGGTGAGTGGTCCTTCCAAGTTAGGGCCTGGGGTGCATTCCTAGTGATGAATAAACATTCTGATGACAGGGTTGTTCAGTGGCATTGGAGGGTGAATGGTGGTTCTGGCAACATTCAACAAGGGAACAACAAGGGTAGAACATTGGTGGCGTCCAATCTCCTGTTGGCCACACTTCATCCCTGTGTGAGGACATAGAAGATGACAAGTTTATCAGACAGTGCTCTAATCTTTAGGATATACAAAGAACTCAAAAAGTTAAACACCAAATACCAAATAACCCAATCAACAAATGGGCCAAGGACCTGAACAGACACCTCTCAGAAGAGGATATACAATCAATCAACAAATACCCGAGAAAATGCTCAACATCTGTAGCAATCAGAGAAATGCAAATTAAAACTACTCTAAGATACCATCTCACTCCAGTAAGAATGGCAGCCATTAGGAAGTCAAACAACAAGTTCTGGCGAGGATGCAGGAAAAAAGTACCCTCATACATTGCTGGTGAGACTGTAAATTGGTGCAGCTAATTTGGAAAGCAGCATGGAGATTCCTTGGAAAGTGGGAATGGTACCACCATTTGACCCAGCTATTCCTCTTCTCAGACTATTCCCCAAAGACCTAAAAACAGCATACTACAGGGACACAGCTACATCAATGTTTATAGCAGCACAATTTATAATAGCTAGACTGGAGCCAACCTAGATGCTCTTTAATAGATGAATGGATAAAGAAAATGTGGCATTTATACACAATGGAATATTACTCAGCAATAAAAAATGACTAGATCATGGCATTCTCAGGGAAATGGATGGCATTAAAGGAGATTATGCAAAGTGAAGTTAGACAGTCCCCCTACAAGAAATGCCAAATGTCTTCTCTGATATAAGGGGGGGGTGACTCAAAATGGGATAGGGAGGAAGAGCATGAGAAGAAGATTACCTCTAGATAGGAAAGAGAGGTGTAAAGGTAAAGAAGGGAGAAGGGAAATTGCATTGAAGATGGAAGGAGACCCTCATCGTTATACAAAATACATGTACGATGATATGAGGGGGGAAAAAGAATCACGTCACCTTAGATGTTGCAGAAAGAAGTGATGGGAGAGGAAGGGAGGGGAAGCGGGGATAGGAAGGATAGTAGAATGAAATAGATATTATTATTGTATGTATATGTGTGACTGCATGACCAATGTGATTCTGCAACCTGTACACTCGGAATGAGAAATTATATCCCATCTGATTCAAATGTATTGTACTGTTATGTCTAACTAATTAAACAAACAAACAAACAACAACAACAACAAAAAACCCCGATGAGTTCTCCTAACTTAAAAAGCTCCTGTCCTAGGTTTCCTCTTGCCTCTCATGGCCAAAATGCATAGGTTCTTGGGACACTTATGATGGATGGGTTGTTGCTATTTTACAAAACAGCACATCCATCAACGCTGTCAGATTTGAGAAGATTCCTGCTACCTCATGAACTGTCACTCCTGGGCCTCCGTGACCCTCAGCCCCGCAACTTCTGCTCTGTCTGCATGGATTTTTGTCACTGTGGGCACTTCCGTGGCAAGCACATGGCCTTCTGTGTGTGGCTGTTTTCCTTCAGTGCAACATTTCCAAGGGTCACTATGTTCTATGTTATGGTCTGGCCATTTTCTGTCACCTGGATGACCCTCTGAGGCTCAGCACCACACTAGTGGGTGTGCTCAAAGGCCACCTCTGGGTGGGATGAAGAATGCTGACTTGAACATTTGATTTCAGTTCTGTTGAGGAGCTGGTGAGAAGTGGCCCTTTTGGGTCATAGGCTAACATTATGTTTAGCTTTTTGAGGAATTGCCCAAATGTTTTCCAAAGTAATAGTAGAATTTGACATTCAACCAGCAGCCCTGGGGGGCCCCCATTGCTCCCCACCTCCCCCACACCCAGGGTTGCCGGGTGTCAGATCCCAGTCTCTGTCTCAGAGGTGTGAAGTGGTTTTCATCATGGTTTCCCCCAGCAACTAACAAGCTGAACACACACAGTCATGATCAGCTTCAACGCTTCTAAAGAAAAAGACCTGTTCAGATATTTTGCTGTTTGCAGCTAGGTTGTCTTTGATGGTTTGTGGGTCCTGGTGCTCTTTACATATTCTGGATATAAATCCTTTGTCGGATATGTGGTTTTCAGGTATTTTCTCCCCAATGCAAAATCCTCATTACACACAGAATTTTCTGGACATTAGAAAAATGTCTTGGTGATTAGTAGGAATGGACCCATGGGCAATGCCTGGGCGATGCATGGAGAGAGACAAGGACACTCAATACAGGGGCTTTGACCAGCCAAGAGGAAAGGGAAGTTGGAAGAAGCAGATGGGCAGAGGAGACGATAAGAAATTAAGCACCTTTGGTTGAAATCATGGGAGTCAGAGTCCCCCAAATAAGCCATAAAGTAGAAATGCCGGGGCAACAGTACCTTTGAGGAGTGGAGGATGAAGAGGGCTCCTCTGATTCTGGAGGTAAATGTTTCCAGATGCTCTCTGAGTTTCTAGAAATTCAGTTTGGGGTCATTAAAGTGACCTTGAATCTTTCTTTGGCTGGGTTCTGAGGCCTGGCAGGGCATAGCAGAGTGACTGGAGAGGTCGTTTATACTTATGTAGATTTATTCCTGGAATAAGGCATTGAATGAAAGAGTTAGAAGTCCCTGTCCTCATGGTGCTTACAGTCTAGCTGGGACATCATATTGTAAGTGCTAGAGAACTTTAATGTAGGTGTATAATGAGAATTAGGCAGCCTGGGTCTGTAGAAGGGGAGGGGCTTATAGACTTAGGTAGATGGCATTTGGCAGTCTGACAAAGTAACTCCTGAAAGAAGCCTGACAGGTGAAGGACTGAGCCTGCATCTCAGGGGGAACTTCCTGTGCAAATGTCCTGAGGTGGGCCTGGTCCATAGCTGGAAAGTGGGGAGGTGAGCATGG